AGAGTGATGTTGGAATTTTTCAGTTGCAGTGATAATTCTACTTGTGGACAGTTCTGGATCAACTGGATCATTCCTGCCAATGTAGATGACATTTTTCGTTAGAAAATTAGTGAGAGTTGTCTGCATTGTCCTTTTCTGTTTAGGTTCCTATACTTCGTGGTGACAGCTCACTGCTTTCCAAATCTACCTGTCAGCTATAGCAAAGTGATTGATATTTGGGTCCATGTTTTTAAGCAACTGAAGCCCCTGTTTTAGTTTAGAAAAAAATCCCAGCTAATCCTTTCAGTATAAATTTTTTCTATAACTTCTTTTCTCATTATTTCTCTTTTCAAAAATCCATAAGGTCTTTCTTCATTATCTATGACCTATACCACATCAGCAATATTAAGTTCTAAAAATAGATTTCTTGCCATATGAATGGTTTTTCTGTTGATGTCTTCCATCATATTATCCTGATCAGATATCTGGACTGTATTCATATAACTCATCAATTTTCCCCATATTCCCTGTAAGCATTTTCCCATATCTTTCTCCCAGGGAGATGCAATGCTTTAGATACACTGATGGTCATAATTGTGGTTTGTCATTAACTGAGTATGTCAAATTTGGTGACTATCTGTATTACCAGAGATAGAGGAAGTTAATAATAACAACTGCTTCAACGACTACATTAGTATGTAATATTGCTATCATTTGTAATTTGCTAACTTTTCTTTTATAGCCCTGCATATGGTCTATTTCATGTTCCCTTGAAAAAGAAAGTGTATTCTGCTATTAGATATATTGTTCTTTCTGTATCAATTAAGTTGAACTGTTCATAATGTTCAACTCTTCTATATCCTCAATGATTTTTAAAATAATTTCTTGTTGCTAAGAATTTATTTCTCTACAAAGTTCTGTCCATTTTTGTTTCATGTGTTTTGAACGTCTGTTAGTAAGTACTTGCACACGTAGGATTGTTAAGCCCTGTTAATTAATTGATTCTTATTATGAAATGTCCCTTGCTACCTCTGTAATAACATTTTTCTTAGTTTACATTATCTGATAGAGTTCCACCAGCTTTCTTGTGTATATCTTTCCATGATGTTTCTTTTAACATTTTTCAATCTATTTGTGTTTTTATATTTAAAATGCTTCTTTTATGCATAGTTATGGCTGGATCTTGCTTTTTTATGCAAACTGATAATTTACACCTTTTAAATTGGTGTCTGTTTACATTTAATGTAATTATTGATAAGCTGCTGTTGTTGTAAGTTGCCTTCGGTGGATTCCAGCTCACAGTGACCCCATTTGTGCTGAGTAGAACTAATCTACAGGTTCCTGAGACCTTCTGAAAGCAGATTGCCGGGCCTGTCTTCCAAGGTGCCTCTGAGTGGGTTTGAACCACTCTTCCAGCTAGTAGTTGCGTGGTTAACCTTTTGTAACACCCGTGGACTCTCAACTATTAGTGTGGTTGAGTTTAAATATTCCATCTTGATATTTGGTATCTATTTATTCCATCTGTTTTTACTTCCTCTGTTCTTGCGTTCCTGCCTTCTTTTGGGTGAATTGAATATTTTTAGCTATACCTCTTTCTGCTAGTTCACATAAAATATGCTTCTTATTCACACAGTTTTGTTATGCAAACAGTATCTCAGTTAAATTTGTCTTCAAATCAGGATCTTGCTAGGGGTTTACCAGTTTTATTAATCTCTTCAGTGAACCCACTTTGCCCTAGAGAGAGAAGGGTAGCAGAGATTAGGGTTCTTGACCAGAATTCGATGTGGAGTTGACTGCCCTTTTCGCCCTTTTCCATCATAAAGTAGAGCATGGTCAACATTAAGCTAACATGGTCGTCATAATATAAAGCTCATACTTATTAATGATTGTAATCAATGTAATTGGAGAGCTGCTTGTATGTCCCACTCTTCTGTCACTTTCTTTCCCATATGACAAGGATTCTAGGAGTCACCATGAAGAGTGTGAAATAAATAACTCCCCATTAAAGTTATGTCTGCCAAGCTTCATTTTTGTGTAATCAGTCAGATAATTCATAAGCAGCTTGATGCTGCCCTTGGAAGCTTGCAATTTTGTTGAGAAAGCATTTATATAATTTTATTATGTATTTATATTATATATGATAATCTATACATTTATTACATGTTTATGTAAGGAAAGATTGCATAGTAGTTGTCAGGCTGTTTGTGAGCATTACAGGCAATAAATAAATGAAATAAAGATGTTTGTGTGGTTAATTCTAGCAGTGGCTTTCTAACGAGGGAAATTGCCAAACATGGAGGCCCCACACTCTCTAGGGACTAACAGTCTGCAGGGCACACACTTCTCTGACATTTTCGTGAATTGCATAATATTGCATCTGCTTCTGACCATTTTGTCTCTGACCATCTACAAAGATTCTCAGTCATTGCTAGTAAGACAAACTCTTGCTTCCTCCCACTCCTTTCTTTTCTTTCTTCCTCCTGCATATATATAGTTTATTTGAAGATTTGAATTTCAATTTTGATTTAACTTTCCTGGGTGGAAAACATTTACATCCTTGTACACATTTGAGTGTAAATTGCCTCTCTTTCTAGGTATAATCAGTTTCTACTCTTCAGCATACAGAAGATTTTATGAATAATATTGAATGCAGAGAGAGAGCTCTAAAAATAATTGTGCAGGTAGGGTTTTGCTAGTTGTATGTGGAACACTGGCAGGGGAAGAGAACAAAGGCACATCAGGGTGAAGGTAATGGTAGGCGGAGCATTTCATTTCATTTGCTTCCTCCAAAAGCTTGTATTAAGTGGAGAAGGAAAACAAACAAGAAACAGGAGCATCTGCATTAGCTATTGAATGCTTCATTTCTCATCACTGTTAGTCACATTTGAATGGAACCATTATAGTCTTTATGGTGTGTATAACTAAGCCTTTTTTCTTTTTTCAGTAAGTCCTGAATTTAATGTTTTCGAGAGCAAGGAAATGTTTTTTGACATTCTACAGTTCATTTTGGATTTCATAGTCTTAAAAGTCATTGACTTTCAGTAGTCAAGGGGTGTACAATACATGCCATTTTTATGCCGAATAGCACTTCCAATAGTGTGTAATGCATATTATGTACACACACCTTTTTGCATCTGTTTCTACCTGACAGCTTACAGCATTAGGCCGAACTCAGCTGTCATGAACAACTAACTGAGTGGGGGTGAAATGCTAAGCAGTGTACCAGTGGATTTTTTAAATCTGTAGAGCTTCTTTTGGATACATTTATATAAAGATTTTACAGTGATGTATTTACCAGTGCATAATTAGATTACAAATCTTTAAATACTTAAGTTGTTCTTCTAGAAACAGGCAGGGGTTTGTGCTAATCAATTGGCAATTCTCTTGAGTAGGATTTCAGCATGCATCTTACAGGAACATCTATTCTGTTTCTGTATTACTGACTATGCTTAAAAATGTGTGTGTGTAGGTTGCTAAAATGAAGATTCTCAGTGTAACAGTATAACAGCTGAGCATTTAACCATTGCACTACCAGGGACCCTTATGCTTTGGGCATGTACACATACTCAAAAAAGCAAAATTGACTGTGACTTATAAGCGTAGCCCATGTCACATAATCAAATATTCCTTTCCCTTCTCTTGGCCTAAAAATACGTCAGGGAAGAAACTGTAATGCCTATGCTTCATTTTTAAAATTTCAATATTTGTGTTTTCTCTAAGGCTGTAAAACCTTTAGATCAGATTTTGCTACAGGGAATGAGATTCAGTTACTTTCGTACACTACTACTAACTGTTGGGTTTTTGGTCCTGTGGTTAAAAAAATATTCCCTAGAAATTTGTCTAGAATTCCCAAAACAAAATAATAAAATGCCTTTTTAAAAGTTATTTTTAATATCCAGTATCCAGTTATTGGACTTAGTACTTTGGTTAAAAAAAAACAAAAGCAAAGAAAAGAAATACAAATGAAACCCACTGCCGTTGTGTCTGTTCTGATGCACAGCAATTCTGTAGGACAGAGTAGCCCTGCCCCATACAGTTTTCAAGATTATAATTTTAAAATGTAGACTGCAGACTACCTATCTTTCTGCAGCAAAGCCATTTGGCGGTTTGAACCACCAAACTTTTGGTTTGCAGCTGAACATTTAACCATGGCACCAAGGCCCTTTATGCTATGGCTTATGTGCATATACTCCCAAAAGCAAAATTCTGTTTGGCTTATAAACAAATCCAGTGTCACACACTCAGATGTTCTTTTCATTTCTCTTAGCATGCAAAGAGGAAAGATGCCCATCTTTCATCTTTTTAAATTCAATGTTTGTGTTTTCTCTAAGGTTATAAGACTTTCAGATCAGTTTTTGCTATTAGGGATGTGTTGCAGTGTTTAATCTCTATTGACTAATTAACAACTATTTGTAACTTCCTAGGTACTGGTTAGGATGAATGCGATTTGGAGACAGTCTGTTTCCTGTCTAAGGATAGGAAAGGGGCCGAACAGATACAAAAGTGGTTGTAACCCAGCAGTTCCTCTTGGATCTAGGATTTTAACCGACCCAAACAAAGTATTTGAACACAACATGTGGTGAGTGAACTTTTTAGCTATATAAAACATTGCTGTTGGCGTTATTTTCATTTCATTCCAGAAAAGGACTTGTGAGACTGATTAACTAAAATATGTGGTTGTTCTTAGGTACAGGTGATTTAGTTCCAATTCACAGTCATACTGTATACAACACAATGAAACACTACCTGGTCTTCACAACCATTGCTGTTTGAGCCCCTTGTTTTAGCTACTGAGTTAATTAATCTTGACGAGTGTCTTTTTTTCTGCTGATCTAATTTACCATGCATGATGTCCTCCCCCAGGGATTGGTCCCTCCTAAAAACATGTCCAAATATGTGAGACAGAATCTCACCATCCTTGCTTCTGTGGAGTATACTGACTATACTTCTTCCAAGACAGTTTTGTTTGTCTTTCTGGTAGTATATGGTCTGTTTAATATTCTTTGCCAACACCATTATTCAAATGCATCGATTCTTCTTCACTCTTTTAATTCACTGCCCAGCTTTGAAATAAATGGAGCCTTGGTTTTTGTCGGTGCCTTCAAACTAGCCTGGGCTTCTTTCTTCCAGACCACTCACATTTCACAATGAAGGGATTGAAAATACCATGACTGGGGACAGGTGCACCTTAGTCCTCAAAGTGACATTTTTGCTTTATGCCATTTTAAAGGACTCCTTTGCGGCCCAGTGCAGTACATCATTGGTTTTCTTGACTGCTGCTTCCATGGGTATTGATTGTGAATTTAAGCAAGATAAAATTCTTGACAACTTTAAAATGTTCTCTGTTTATCATGTTCTCTATTGGTCCAGTTGTGAGGATTTTGGTCTTCTTTACCTTGAATTGTAATCCATATTGCAGGCTGCAATCTTCATTAAGTCCTCTTTGCTTTAGGAAACAAGATTGTGTCATCTGTGCATGTCAGGTTGTTAATGAACTTCCCTCCAATTCATGATGCCATTTTCTGCTTTACATAGTTCAGTTTCTCAGATTATTTGCTCACCAGACAGATTAAATAGTATGGTGTAATACAATCCTCACACCTTTCCTGATTTAAAACTGTGCAGTGACCCACTCCTCTGTCTGAGCAGCTGCCTTTTGATCTATGTACAAGTTCCCCATGAACACAGTTAAGTGTTCTTGAACTTTCATTTTTCACAAAGTTATCTATAGTTTGTTATGATCCTCAGAGTCTAATGCTTTTGCACAGTCAGTAAAACACAGTAGACAATTTTCTGGTAGTCTATGCTTTTAGCCAAGATCTAGCTTTCATTAATAATAACATCATTACAAGTTGTCTTCTGAATCCAGCTTGAACTTCTGGTGGTTTTGCTTTGGTGTACTACTACAACCATTTTTAAATGATCTTCAACAAAATTTTACTTGAATGTGATATTAATTACATTACTAGATAGTATCATCATTCTGTAGGATCACCTTTCTTTGGAATAGCCAGATTGTCTTTCAGATTCATTGTCATAGATGAATGTGTGCCCCCACCTCCCTTCATTTATTCATGCATCTCAATTGGCATTCTATCCATCAATTTCTGGAGCCTTGTTTTTTGCCAGTGCCTTCAAACCAGCCTGTACTGCTTTCTTCAGGACCATTACTTCTAGATTATATGCTTGAATGTTGGCCAATTCTTTTTTGGCACAGTGGCTCTGTGTATTCCTTCTATCTTTTTTTTATGTTCCCCATATCATTCAATATTTTGCCCACAGAATCCTTTAATATTTCAACTGAAGATTTGATTTTTTTTCAGTTCTTTTAACTTGAGAAATGTCAAGCATGCTCTTCCTTGTTGGCTTTCTAATTCCAGGTCTTTGGACATTTCATTTCAGTGCTTTATTTTGTCTTATCGAGCTTCCCTTTGAAATCTTCCATTTAGCTTTTTTACTTCAACTTTTCTTCCAGTCATTTTAGTTACATAATCTGTGTTCAAGAGCAGGTTTCAGAGTCTCTTCTAATATCTGTTTTGGCCTTTTTTTTTTTCTTTCCTGTCTTTTTAATGACCATTTGCTTTCTTTGTGTATGCTATCCCTAATGTCATCCACAAGTCATCTAGTCTTTGATCATTAAAGTTCAGTGCATCAAATCTATTCCTGAGATGACTTCACTAAAATTTAGTTAGGATATATTCAGTCATTTTTGCTTTTGTGGACTAATTTTCATTTTCTTCAGCTTCACCGTGAATGTTCATATGAACTATTGGTTGTCTGTTCCACAGTCAACTCCTCATTTTGTTCTGACTGTTGATGTAGAGCTAGTCTTTCATCTCTTTCCACAGCTGTAGTCAATTTGATTCCTGTCTATTTCATCTAGTGAAGTACACATGTATATTTTCCAGTTATATTATTAAAAAAGGACACTTATGATGAAGAAATTGCTTGTAAAATTTGATCATACCATAAACAGTTTCAATTCTTTCACCAAGGTCATATTTTCCCACTGTTTATCCTTTGTCTTTGTTTCCAACTTTCATATTCCAGTCACCAAAAATTATAAATGCATCTTGATTGTGTGTATGCTCAATTTCAGGTTGCAATTGTTGGTTAAAAAAACATCTTGATTAATGATGAGGGCAATGAATGTACAAATGTGCTTTACACAATTGATGTATGGATGGATTGTGATAAAATTGTATGAGCCCTAATAAAACGATTAAGAAAAATCCAAAAACATCTTCATTTCTTGTTGCTGGGGTTAATGGTTGTCTGTAAGTTTGAATAATAGTCATAGTAACTGACCTTTCTTATAAATGTATGGATAACCTATCATGACAGTGTTTGAAATCAGGATAGATCTTGAACTATCCCTTTGGCAATGAAGATGGCACCGTCCCTCTTCAATTTGTTATTGCTGCCAGAGTATGGTTGTCTGATTCAAAATGGCAACACCAGCCCATTTCAGCTCACAAAAAAAACAGAAAAAAATGTACTTCTGTGGTTATTCAAAGGCATTAGACTCTGCTGATCATAATAAACTATGGATAACCTTGTGATGAATGGGGGCTCAAGAACACTTCATTGTGCCCAAAGGGACCTTGTCCCTGACCAAGAGGCAGTTGTTCAGATCAATGGTGACTGTATAGTTTTAAATCAGGAAAGGTGTGTGTCAGGATTGTATCTTTTCATCATACTTATTCAATCTGCATGGTGAGCAAATAATCTGAGAAGCTGGGCTATATGAAGCAGAACATGGCATTAGTATGGGAGAGAAGCTCATTAACAACCTGCCATACACAGATAACACAACCTTGTTTCCTGATAGCAAAGAGAACTTGAAATACTAAGTGATGAACATCAAGGATTGCAGCCTTCAGTATGGATTACAACTCAGTGTAAAGGAAACCAAAATCCTCACAACTGGACCAATAGACAACTTCATGATAAACAGAGACTATTTTGAAGTTGTCAAGGATTTCATCTTGCTTGGATCCACAATCAATGCCCATGGAAGCGGCAGTCAAGAAATCAAATGACATATTACATTGGGCAAGAACAAAAACTCAACTGCTATTGAGTCAGATTGACTTATTATGACCCTATAAGACAGGGTAGAACTGCCTGGTGGGTTTCTGAGACCATAGCTGCTTATAGGAGTAGAAAGCCTCATCTTTGTACTGCAGAGCAGTTGATGGTTTCAAACTGCTGACCTTGAGGAACTCAGGTCAACACATAACCACTACACCACCAGGACTCCTTGCATTGGACAAATCTCCTGCAAAAAATCCTTTAAAGTGCTAGGAGGCAAAGATATCACTTTGAGAACTCAGATGCACCTGTCCGAAGCCATGTGTTTTCAGTCACCTTATAGCTTGTGAAAGCTTTACTAAACTCACAAAACCAGATCCACTGCCATCAGGTCAATTCCAATTCATAGTGACCCTATAGGACAGAGTAGATTTGCCCCTTTCATATGTCTGAGACTAACTCTTTACAGGAACCGATGCCTCTCTTTCGCTTGTGGAGTGCCTGGTGGTTTCGGACTGCAGATCTTAACAGTTAGCAGAGCTAATCATAAGCCACTAGACCACCAGGGCTCCTTGAAATCTGGACAGTGAACCAGAAGAATTGATGCATTAGTTTTTATAGTATTGGCAAAAATGTTAAATAGACCATATATTATCAGAAGAGCAAACAAATCTGCCTTAGAAGTCCAGTCAGAATGTTCCTTTAAAACAAGGATGACTAGACTTTGTCTCACTTTGGACGTGTTTTTAAGAGGGACTAGTCCCTGGATAGGGACATCATTCTTGGTAAAATAAAAGGTCAGCAAAAGACACTCATCAAGCTGGATTGACATAGTGGTTGCAGCAATGTGCTCACACTTATCAGTTGTAAAGTTGGAACAGACTGGCCAGTGTTTCACTCTGTTGTGCTTGGGTCCCCAGGAATTAGAAATAACTAGATGCCACTAACAACAACAGCACCTAGAATATGTATCTTAAAGTGTTCAATTTCATTTTTTATAACTTCCAATGTTCTTAGATTTTCACCTAATACATATTGTGTTCTTATTAACGATGAATGTTTGCAGCTGTTTCTTCTCATTTTATAGAAATATTGTAAAGTTCCCAAAACTTTAGGCACCTCATCATGACTTAATCACTTTTCATTTAGATTCCCTTTGCAAATAGTCTTGGGAAAGCAAGGTCTGTAGGTGCTTTTCTCAGCTTTGGGTTCTATGAGCCCTCCCTGCTCACTTCTGATACCAGTTGGCCAGAGCATCACTGGTGGATGCATCTCTAGGTGAGGACTCCACCTACTCCACAGGCCTTTCCCTCTTTTACAAGTACTTGTTTTTTTGTTTTGTTTTGTTTTAATGGTTTTATTAGGGGCTCATACAACTCATCACAATTCATACATACATCAATTGTGTAAAGTACATTCATTGCCCTCATCATTCTCAAAACATTTGCTCTCCACCTAAGCCCCTGGCATCAGCTCCTCATTTTTACAAGTACTTGTTAAACAGCAAATGTGTTTTCAGTGCCCACTTCAAATCCTAAGGGTCCA